GCTCTTTTTGCAGCACTTATGCTGGAGCTTGTGCTAGGTTCTTCGTCATCTGCTCGTGATTTCAGCAAAAATTTATCCATATTTGAAGCACTATAGTTATTTATAAAAGTAGATACTGCAACAAAACTTAGTCCAGTTCACTTATTTATAAGGCACAAGAATTTATTTATATAGCAATTCACTATTTATTTCACTCTACGATTTATTTGTTTGCCCGCGTATTTATCTGATTCACTTGACTATTCGACTCTCTCTGAGTCTCTGAGCGACGACAGGCGCGCTTATATAGGCAGTTGCGATGTTCAGGAAAACATCGAGTCGCGCCTCGAACGGCACGGATCTTTCTAGTTTAGTCGCCTTCGAGAATCAAGCCGCCGCGCCGCGCCGATAGACGGATAGACGTTTACCATCGGCGCTGTTGTCAGATTGCTTTATTTTTCGCGGGTCTCGCTACAATACGAATCTGATTCGTATTGTCTGCAAGAGCGGCACACCTCAAGTCGGCTTACGGCACACCAGTGTGCCGCGGCACACCGGTTGCGGAGCACTGCTTTAACCGACTAACTTCCAATGCAACAGCGCATTTATAAAAAAAGATATAGGCTCTAGATTATTTTTGCTCTCACCATTTACTAAAGCATTGTCTCCGACAATTTCTCGAATATGCATTTATTAAATTTGTCATCGTTCTATAGTTGAATACCGAAATAATAGACAGTATTTTAATGTGTAATGAATGCCCTCATAAATCGTTGTGCCACAGTTTAGAGAAATTTTTGGATGTTACAAGACAAGGGTTTTTTTCAGAAGTGAGCATATATTAAAATTGCATATATGGCACCTCTGTCAGCTTTCTTCACAAATTTTTGGCTCTAAATTACTGTCTATTATTTCGATATTTAAATATAGTGTATTCTATGAATAAATCACTACGACTAGCCATAAGCGTAGCACCGGGGATAGACTTATTTCTTTTAAATACTTCGGACAAGTGGACCCTAAAAAGCCCAAACATGGCAGAGAGAGACTTTATGGATTAGAACATGACCAGATTGGTCAGAAATGGCTTGCACTACATTATTTTTTGACACCTTTATTTTAAAAACTAACTGAATAATGTTTAGGTATTTTTCTTATTTTTATTACCTAAATATTATGGTAAATAATTTTGCTTAGTTGTGTAATATTGATTTATATTTTTGATGTATTATTTTCTATCATTTATACATTTCTAATTTATATTGTCTAGTAAATTCAGATTTTGTTGGACAATAAAGAATTAATTTTCTGCACCTATAACCTTAACTCACACATGTACCAATAAATTAATGTTTGAGATTGAATTATTAATATATTTGTCATTTCAAATTATTTAGGAATTATTGTCAGATATGTTTTGTAACCATGATTCACCAAAACAAAAATACAATCAGAGATAGATTATAAAATATACCAATTCGACTTAAAAGTGATGGCATCAGTTTTTTGGAATTTTTATTACCCATCACCTTGAAAAGAGAAATGCTAAATGTAAAGGAATTAAGAATATTTTGATTCAGTTTAGATGACAAAACATAACGTGAATTAAATGTATTATTCATGCATTGTGTATTTTTGGATCTTACAATTTATTAATATAACAGAAACCTGTTTCTTAAAATACACTTTAAAAAGGCAGTCGTTGGCAATATATAAGTCAAAGAACCCACTAAGATGCGTTTCTTGTATTAAATCCTAAAAAAAATATTCATAATGATACCAGTTGAAGGCCATGCAAGGTATAATTGGAAAATATACAGTGCTACTCAAAAGTGCCCTTCCTCTCGAATATTTTGAACTAATTAAATTGAATGGATGAAATAAACGGTTGTAAGCTTCTCTACTAGTAGGCACAGGTAACTTTGTAAACATAGATGACGTCACAGATCGCCTAATAAAATTATCCTGTTCCCTGTTGCAAAAGTAGTATACAGATCTCTTACCGTTATTTTATTTGTTGGAAGATTATAAGCCCCGATTATATTTTTGTTACTCACCTTATTTTATGTTTTCAGTTGTAATGTTTAAATTTGGCATTCATAGGTATAATAAGGTGTTTTTATTAATAAAACCCACCCCAGCTGCTTGTTTTAGTTTGTCCTCTCAATATATTGTAGTTTTGTATCTTTATTTTTTTCGTTCCTTGAACGCTTGCTATTTTAATAAAAATTTTGGACGAAATAAAAATTTTCTTTGCTGATCCTAGCTGCCTGCACACAGCCGTTAACCTCTTCTTGGTTCCTTTTAATATTAAATTATTGAAGCCTTTTCAAAAGTGCCGAATGTATAAATCCGTTATAAAATTAACAGCATGAAAATTTTGAATCTGTATTATCCATTCACTTTTCTTTAACATACAGGTGGAATAGATTGTTCAGGGTACTTTCATCCCGAAGAAACCATATTGCTATTGTGCGAGTTGAGTCGTTGAACCCATATCCGCCAACAAGAAATGCAGTTTAAATAATTAGGGCAATTTTTAATTTTTCCATTACATAATTTAAAAATAATCAGCATATATTTTAATTTAAATTCAGGTACAATTAAATGTTAAAGTTAGTTCTTAATGTTTAGTAATTGTAATTATTGTATATTTTCATTTTAATAAAAGTCCTTTTTAAAAAGTGACCTTTGTTCTCCAAAAATATCACTGGCGCAGTCAGTAGGGTGCCTTTTCGATATATGGACAATCATATCCTATATAAGGAACCAATCAATGTCTTGAACGCTCTCCTTATTTTTACCACACATCATGGACTTCCACATCTGATAGTAGCAAATATTGGTACCGAGTTAAAAAATATACTAGTGCAAGAATTTGTGGACATGCATCAAATCTCTATCTACTATACTACTCCAAAAAGCCTACAGTCTAATAGAATGATAGAACGCATTCACTCCACTATTCTGGAACATCTGAACAAAGAACAAATGTTATACGCTATATTTGGCTACAACTCCATATATTATGTTATAAAACTAAAACCAATAGATGTTCTAAATATCTACAAGTCCATAGGGGGAATACAAAAGAAATAAAAAGGAAAATTCAAGATCACAAAATAAAAATCATCAACAACAAAAGAAAACTAGAGGTCCCATTAACATATAAACCTTTTTCAAAAATATACTCAAGAAAATAGTAAACTACGTTCAAGATTCTCTCCTAAAATCGTCGAATCAAAGAATCCTCTTAGCACTAAGGCCCAAAAAGCAACCATCCATAAAAATTGAGTTCGCTTCTGCTAAGGTTTAGCAGTTGATGTTGTCTGCTCGTGGATGGCCCTTCTGTGAATCTTTTAGACTGTCTAAGTCCAGAAAATTTCAACCAGAGCCTATGGTGTTCTTTATTTATTTGTTCCTTTAACACCCATTAAACATGTTGGTATGAGATACCACATGTGGGTTCTGGTCCATTAAGAATTTTTTTTCCGCTTCCTTCTTTGCTAGGAGGTTTTACAACTTTGATCAAGCCCTCCGCTACCAACTACGAAGTGTCAAAGAAAAAATCAGTTCCATCTCTTCTTTTACTAGACCAAAAAGAGGACTTATAAATGTTCTCAGCAGTATCATTAAAAAAATATCTGGAAATCTTGATCAAAAAGATTTCAAGTATTACAACAAAGTAATCAAAACAAGAAACATATAATGTTTCAAGAGAACCTCAACATGAGCTTAAACAAAATAATGAAGAAAATCAATGAAACAATTTCGCTAATCTCTCACAACAAAGATACAAAATAAGCTAGTTTTTTATTATAACCACTACCTAGAAACAAGAACTATGTTGGACCAGTCAAATTTTATCGATTAGTTGCTAAATGACTTAGGAAAGTAACTTTAGCCAAGATGCATATTCTACATAGCAGCCTTATTAAAGAAGAACTCTGTTGTATTATAACATCAATGTTAGCGCACCACTCTAAGGAACACCTTTTGTATCCCAAAGAAAAAGACTTTTACAAATATTACAACACCATTGATGTCGATGTTTACTATTCCAAAAACACAATCGTATTCATCCTACATACTCCTATTATGTTTCCAAGTTCCTTTTTTATACTATCATTTATTTTTGATACCAACACAAAATCTTTTAATTATTATTCCTTTTGCTTCCTACCTCCTTACCAATCTTGACAGGAGAAACTGCTACAAGAAAGGTCGGGAAACAAAGACTGTATTATCCAAATTCTACAGATCGAAAACGAAGCAGCAGCCTGTGGAAAGGTCCCAGTTGTTCTTAACAGCACTATAATCGAATAAATTTTAAAAGCTCACTACATTGGTATCTTCCCAAATCCAACAGAGATACATAACGCTGCTCAAGTTCAACAATAGTAGTTCTTCAAGGGACATATCTAATCGAACTACCAGCAAGAAAAGTTTCATTAATTCCAAAATCAGCATCATGGGAAAACCTCTAACACTGCCCAAGATAAAAACAAAGAACGTTGAAGATGTGGCCGAACTGAAACCAATAAAACTGGATGAAATCCATCTTGACGAACTAAACAAGCTTGCAAAAGAAGAGGAACTTCTCCAAGTCAAGGAATGGGACAAGGAAACAACCTCGGATTTGTTATAGGATTCAAGATACATACTAGGAAAAACAAGAAAAGAAACAGAAGAAACCAAACCAAACACAGCCAAGTCCAAAGTTTTGTTCGTCCCTTACAAAACTTCTTCTGCGGATGGAGAAGTAATGAGTCGTTAAACTCATATCCGCCAACATGAAATGCAATTTGAATAATTAAGGTTATTACACTTAATTGTCCCAAAGTTACGATTCGGCAATTTTGCATTTTTTCATATCATAATTTATAATTAATCACCATATATTTTAATATAAATTCAGTTAGGTACCATTAAATGTAAAAGTTAGTTTTAATTATTAAGTAATAATTGTAATTACTGTATATTTTTATTTTAATAAAAGTGCTTTTTAAAAAGTGACTTTTGTTCACCAAAAATATTTCTTGCGTCACGTTTTCATTATTTTAATTTTGAAACAATATGCTTCTGAATTTTTTTAAATTTTATTTCATCTAAGATATAAATGCATGATAGGAATAGTATTTTATTTTTATACTTTTTAACTTTTTAACTGATAATAATATAACGCACATCTGTTTTATTTATAATACCTACTATAAATAAATCTGCGTTATATTATGTTGCTTTCAATCAGTGTACATTTTTTCTTTTATAATCGAGTACCGTTTTATTTTTACAGTCTTCATAAATTTCTTCAACACCACTTGGTAATTGTTTATTACACCCAAATGGACCATTTACGTGAATTGAGATGAAATCGTCACAGTCTATTTTGCTGTCATTATTACAATCCTAAAAAGATTAAATTATTTAATACGAACTTGCATACCTACGTCCGATCTTGTCATATAAATTTACCTTTACAAAGTTCTGCATGTACCTATCCAATGTCAAAGTGGCACAACCTAAGTCTTTGACGCAATTATAAAACGCTGTCTTTTCATTAGGTGATTGGTTGTTTAATGTAGGTTTTCCAGCATCCGTCCAGTAAGCTTTTGTAATGTGATAAGGTCCACAAGCATCTGCTGTACCTAAATAAAACAACAATATTCGTTACCAAATTGAATGAACTTGAAACTTTTAAATCAAACAATCTTAAGATATTATTGTACTCGGACATATGAGACCGATCTCTGATTGTACCTATGTGGCATATATGAAGACTAGAAAGAAGGAGGCGAATCGGTAATAGACAAATTTCAAATTTCCTTCTTTTTATAAAGTTCGCCAAATTGACTATAGTTGGCCAGTTGGCCAGTTGGCAGGTCAAACGTCAGCGCCATTCATTTCCTATGTAAGTCAATGTAAAATTTAGTGTTTTCTAAAAAATTGTTTAAAAGAATCAAAATAATGTGAAAAAGTACCTGAGTACCAGTAACATGAGTGACAAAAACATTAACGCAAGATTTACTTTATTTTAGATTGTAAAACGGGATACAAATCAGATGTTAAACTAAAGAAAACACAAGAAGAAACCAATTCAATGTCCTTTTAAAGTTTCTAATGTAAGTAAAATCATGTATTTATTTCTAAATATAATATTTATTATAAACTAGTTACAATCCGTACCTTACGGAATGTACTTTATTTTGGTATAAGTTTCTATTACATAAAATTTTACAGTCATATATCCTGAATTGCAAACAAAAATAATTATACATTTTTTTTGCTCTTGGGCAAGGTTGTATCCATTTAGCCAGCTACAAAATATGTTAGGGACACACGGGCACATTGGCTTCTGCTCAAGCGCGCGTGTATGGATGTATATCTCTTTTAATATATCTCTTTCTTGTTTTTTTTTTTCTAAGAATAACAAAAAATATAATAATAATAATAATAATAATAATAATAATAATAATAATAATAATAATAATAATAATAATAATAATAATAATAATAATAATAATAATAATAATAATAATAATAATAATAAAAAAAAGTGATTAATATTCTAACCTAATCGTCAATAACGAGGGTTTTTTAAATAATTGCAAGCGGGATAAAACTAGGAATAAACTCTTTACACCCACGGGTCGGTCAGGGTGACTGACGAACACAGAATGGGTAGACCGCGGTTTGAGGGATTTTTTGTAGGGTAAAGTAACATTGGTGATAAGTCTAACCTAATTCTAAAGTTTTAATTTACTTTTCTGGATAAATAATAAAAGGGCATCGTAGATCGATAGTTTGTTAAGGAACAGAAGGTATAATAAATTGAAGGGGGGGGGGGTAAATTTTGCATTTTATTAGGTTTTCAACAAGTTAATCGCTGTGATTTCCGATTTTATTACATCCGAAGAATATATGGTCTAAAACGCCTAGTGTATTGCAAGTGTAACAAAGATTAGATTCTTGTATACTGATTTTTTGCAAATGGAGAGGGTAGCATGCGTCTCCGAATTTTAGTCTGCTAATGGTGACTATTTCATTTCTTGTGTAAGTGAGGTTTTTGTGCCACACTTCGTTAGGAATGACTGGGTGCAGCAAAGTGTAGCGGGTTGATGAGTCATTGCAGTATTGTTTTCACAAGTATTTCCATTTGTCTTTAAGTCTTTTTTTAAAGTGTGAAATGCATTCATCTATACTGATATTGTTTTCCATATGCTGTCTAGTGTTAATACTTTACTTGGCTAGATTGTCAACTATTTCGTTGAACTGTAGGCCGGCATGTGCTTTTATCCACAGGAAATTAATACTGAAGTTTTGGTTTTTAAGCTTGATAATCAGTAATTTTAAGTTAATTATATAGAGATTGTTGTAAGGGCTTATTATGTCTATTGGACGTGATATGCTAGTAAGGACTGACTGTGAATCTGAAATGATGACGTAGTTCAAAGCGTTAAAAATTCCTAATGCTTCGGCTGAGAATAATCGTTTAACTTAATTTTTTTTGAACCTTCAAGACTAGATGAGGAAAGCACAACCAACTCCATCAATTTATTTAGAGGCGTCTGTGTAAATATGTACATGATCCGGGTACTTTGACAGGTAGAGATTTAGTATATTATTATTGGTTATTGGGATATCACTGTAGGTAGGGGTTACTATATGTATTGGTTCTAAAGCCATAAATAATTCATATACATCATATTGAGCAGGCTTATGTACGTAATCAAATATATTGTGGTTGTTTCTAAAGGAATCAACTATTAGCGGAGATACTTTTTTTGACCAGTATTTGTTTGTCAAATCATATGTATTTAGTACTGCAATTTTATTTATGTTGCAAGGATTAGTTATACATTATTTCATAATAAGTTTGTCAGACAATAATTCTCTACGGAGGTGGAGAGGGGACTCTAAAGCTTCCACACGTAGGGGTTCCACTGGGGTGGAGCACATGACGCCTATGCAGAGTCTTCTGTACAATGTCCAATCGTTTTAGTGTACTAGAGCTAGCCGATCCATATAGAATACTACCATAATCTATTATGGATCGAATGTATGACCTGTAAAAAATTAAGCAAGTTTCGGGGTCAGCTCCCCACCAAGTTCTTCTAATCATTTTAAGTAGATTTAAACCTTTATTACATTTGGTGACTACATTATCAATATATGGTTCCCAAGTCAGTTTTTTATCTAAGGTTATACCTAAGAATGTGACTGTGGGGAAGACATGGTATGCAACATTAATAATCTTGAGATTATCAAGAGGAGGTAAATTGTGTCTTGTAAAAAATGATATAATGGATTTTTCTGGAGTTAAAGAAAGGCCTAGTGTATCGAGTTTTTTTGTGATTGAGACAATGGAATTTTTTAGTGTTGATGTACAGGATGCCAGATTTTTATTGGAATTATAAATGACAAAATCGTCGGCGTATTGGATTATGCGATGGTTGATGCAATTCTGGTGTAAACATCTAGTAAAAATGTTAAAGAGATAAAACCGAGCCTTGCGGTAGACCTACTGACACATTTATATGTCTTACTAGAGAATTATTAGCTGATTGGACGTATACCTTTCTTTGGGAAAATAAATTACACAAAACATTACAAATTCTTGGAGGGAAAGAAGCACTGAGCAATTTATCTCTGAGAATTAGTATATCAACGGAGTCATATACACCTTTAATATCAAGAAAGGCTGCTCCCAAATAATCGTTTTTAGAGAAGCTTGTTTGAATATATGTAACCAAATTAGATACTGCATTAATGGTACTCAAATCCTTTATAAAGCCAAATTGATTTTCGGGAAAAATGGAGTGAGAATGTACGAATAATTCGATGCGATATTTTATAACTCTTTCGAATGTTTTAAGAACACACGACAGCAAAATTATATAAAATTCCCATAAGAAGCAATGCAATTTTAACAGCGCCCGTTTGGTGAATTGTAGAAGCTCAATCAGCATTCGATATTTGGGAGCGTATTTTGAGTTTGCCGATTCGCCACCTTATTTCCAGTCTTCGTACTCACGTACACAAAAATATATGTTAAATTAATTAAAAAAAATATCTAACCTGTACATTTGCTTGACGCAGAACAACCAGACAAAGCCATACAGATGCAATTTGAACAGTATGATGTTATTGTATCTTGTGAAGATATAGCTTGAAAACAAGAGAAAATAAATATCAATACAAATGATTTTACGATTAATTGCCCATAAACTCAAATTAACTATGTCGGATGCAAACATTCGATTCACATGGAATGCACTGATCTATCCTCGACTGACCGTGTTACTAGACAGAAAATTCGTGGTTTGAACATTTTATGTAATAGTTGCTCCGTCAATCTTGGTAACTTTACAGATTTAAAGAAAGTTATAACTGACTTTAAACTTGATATACAAAAGAAACTCGATGATAATATTGCTAAACTCTCGACCGAAATCACGCAACTAAAAAATAAAATTGTGTCTGTGGAAGCTACTAGCTATATCGAAATCACCGAAAAAATTGCAAACGAAGCGGTCACATGCAAAAAATGTACTTATCAGGGGATTACCAGAAAGCACCGGAGACATTCACTCTAAAAAAGAGAATGACAAAATTAAAATCAGGGAGTCACTCGATATTATTGGATTTCAAGGAGAATCGGTAACATTTTTCGTGTAGGAAAACCACAGCAACGCTTACCCGGACTGCTGAAAGTTATTATGTCCTCTGAATTGAATGCCAAATGTATTTTAAAAAACAAGAAAAAACTATTGAAAAATGCAAACACCAACGGGATTACTATAATAGACGATAAGACCCCGATTCAACAGCAATACCCCTGGACTTACGTAAGGAACTAGAAAACCGAACAAACAATGGCGAAGATAACCTTACCATGAAATATGTCAACAGACTGCCCAAAATTGTTAAATTTCGCCAATGATAGCTTTCCTCCACCATATCTCGTTCACTGATTTCTCTTATACACTAATTTATGTTCTATTCACGCTTAATATAATTAATATATGTGCACTGTTCAACTTCCTAAACCTGACATAATTCTTATCAGTGAAACCTGGTTAAATACATCAACTCCCGACTCACTAGTTCGAGGAATACACAATCTTTTGCAGCGACCGAGAAAACCGAATTGGTAGTGGCGTTTGCATTTACTCTGTATCTCCTGCACACATAAAAATATCTAACATAGATGTAATATGTTTAAAAATTACTAAACATTTAACTTCTCTACATCTTGCATGTATTTATCGACCAGATGACACTCTTTTAAACGACACCATTACACTTCTATCAAAACTTGAAGATCTATCTATTCTTGATAACACAATTATTATTGGAGACTTCAATTTTCCTAATATTTCCTGGCCCATTATGAATGTTCTCAATAAACTTTGTTCAAAATTCCAACCTATCTCAACTCATTCTTGAACCAACACGCTTCCGAATCAATAATGATCCTTCAACACTCGACCTTCTCTTTACAAATGACACACAATTATTGTCCTCCCTAAAGGTTAGTACTCCTATTGAAAAATCCGATCATGCAGTAATAACGACACATATACAATTCAATTTACACTCTCCTAAACCGGAAGAACATTTCTCAACGTTAGAAATCATTGACTTCACTAAAGCTGATCATTCACTTGCAATTACTGATTGGGATAACTTACTGCTGGCCTCTAATGATTGTTTATCTATGTGGAACAAATTTTATAACATCACTATACAAATGTTCTCAAAAAACATTAATAAACGTAGAGTTTATCGCAACAAATTAAAGCCATGGATTGCTTGGGAACTACTAGAAATGATAAAACATAAAAGCAATTTATGAAGAAGTTATAAAAACACACAAGGTAACGATGATTTCATCTGCCACAGAAGATTTTCCGACCAGCTCAAGCGGCATCTGTCTTCTACGAGACAATCTTACGAAGAATGAATCGCTAACAGTGACAATACTAAAAATCTTTAAAAACATCCTTTCTTCTCTCTCATCCAAAGTTGCCACTCCTTTTCTTCAAAAGGCTGATGGAAGTTTATGCTCCTCCAATTTCGAAACAGCTGAGGTTTAATCGCTCTTTTTTTCCAATGCCTACACCATCGAGCTACCAAACGATGTACTAACCCATATTATTACTACACGTAATTTAGCTTCACTTTACTGAAACACAAATCAAAAATCATTTACTAGGTATTAAAGCTAACTCATCCCCTGGCCTTGACGGCTTAATACCTCATTTCTTAAAAAAAATGCTCAGGCTTTCTGTCATACCCTCTTTCTATAATAATGAATACATCCTTCGCTCTAGGTTCTCTTCCCTCCTCCTGAAAATCTGCATCTGTTACTCCGATCTTTTAAAAAGGCAATAAACTTGATCCCAATAACTACCGCACGATCAGCCTCCTACCAGTTATTTGCAAGGTTATGGAATCAATTATTGCCGAAAAAATGTCCTCCTTTTTAATCCATGAAAATGTTATACCTTAACAACAAGACGGCTTCATTAAAGGAAGATCGACCCTTACCAACCTCCTCCATTGTATCGATGTCATTTATCTAGATTTTTCTAAGGCTTTTGAAAAGTCCCAAAACGTCGACTACTTCATAAACTGGAACATCTAAGCATCCGCGGTAACCTTCATAATGGGATCTTAAATTTTCTAACCGACAGATCTTTTAAAGTAAGAGTTGGTAGCGAGTTCTCCTTAGAAATACCAGTCTCAAGTGGTATTCCACAGGGCTCGGTTCTCGGCCCTTTGTTGTTTACTGCTTACGTAAGCGACCTTAAAGCGCTAGTTTCATCCTCAATATGTTTTTATGCCGACGATACAAACATATTTGCCAACCCTCTTCACGACCATCAGATACTTCAAAATGACCTTAACAACCTCCATGCATGGTGCTGCTACTGGCTCTTGCCCCTAAATATAAACAAATGTGTTGTGCTCCATTAAATAGAATGTTGTCGTACAACGATCTAGGTGTTACAGCGAATTCTAATCTATCGTGGAGTGGTCATATCTCTAATGTGTGCAAACGCGCAAACTCCAGATTACTCCTAATTCAAAAAACTTTTTCAAAAGTGTCGTTTGAAATGTTGTGCAGACTTTATAAATGCTATGTCCGTCCTATTCTAGAATACGCAGGACCCGTGTGGTATCCAGAACTTGTAGGAGACCAACAAATGCTGGAATGTGTTCAACGCCGCGCCACCCGGCTTACCTTTGGCCGCATTAGACCATCATACGAGGAAAGGTTAGAAATAAGAAATCTTATAACATTCCAACAAAGACGTCTCCGTGGTCACCTAATTTTGTCGTTTCGAATAATAAAAGATAACTGTGGAACTGTACTTGTATTTAGTCTTTAGATTTATTTTAAAATCATTTCTTGATTTAATAGATTTTAGGTTAATTAATTTGCTCTTTTTTACTGGGCACAATATAACACCGTCCTCTGCCCTTATTGCAATAATAATAATATTAATAATAATAATCCTTAATCCAAAATGTAACGATTTAACCTAAAACATAAAATATTTTTGCTAAACTATTTTATAAATTATTTAAAAATATTTTTAATATGCTTTGGTTAGATTCCCCACTCGATCATTCACTGTTGAGTTCTAATTAACAGTGCTGTTCCCCCAAAGTAGCGCTGGGAAACAGTAACAAAGCCTACGCAAAACACGAGGCAAAAGAACCAGAGATGTTGAAGTCGATGTCACACAAAAAAATATTATATTAATGAAAAAAAAAACTATTAAGACAAGGATATTTTCACTTTCTTATTATGTACAGAGTGTTAAAGTAACACTTTTGGAGGCCTGGCATATAGAAGGTGACCGCTATAATTTATCCAAAACAATGTCAAGGAACACAAACCCGAAAGAATAATAAATACTATTAATTTTTAAAGCTAAGTATAACTTACCAACAAAAAGTTCTATTAGTAACATAATCGTGATAATTTTTCCATTTATACCAGTCATTTTACTACTTTAAAAACTAAAAAATCAGTCTATATCTAAGAATGTTTCTACATTTTAACATTTAAATTTCTCATGTAATAAGTAAATACAAACAAGTTAAAGGTTAACTATTTTTAGATTAATTTGTTGATTTATTTTTGTTTATTAAATACGAATTTAATTCCAGAGATTCAGATTAATAATGTTTTTTTTTGTTTAACTATAAACCTCTATACTTTTCTTTTATTAATATAAAACGCTCCATTTCTTCCTTTTGAAAATGGAATGTTTGCGTTCATCTGGCCATTCTCATTTTATAAATTTAGCGAGTAGGTATAGGCAACCAACAATACAGATAATCTAAAATAGGTATTGTCGATTTTAAGAATCGAAGTTCTGTGATCGGAAAGTTCCTTATCATTCATACCCATACTTATTATCACCAGTCATCCCCATTATCGTTCTAATCCGTCATTAAATATAATTGTCACTTATTTAAAATTTTAAAAATAACTGTCGTCGGGTGACCAAAATATAAACTGTTTGGCAGTGTTCTCACTACATAAAATGGATATAAAATATATTCGTTTAGTTAATGGTAAAAGTATACTTTTTCGTTTTGTAGCCTGTGCATAGATAAGCTAATATCTATGTGGGTGTAAAAAAAAATATTTACAAAATCACTGTAAACAAGCAAGGAACAAGCGGTCGCGCTAGGTGATTTATATAGGCAACCAATGACGCATTTACTTAATTTTCGGTGGATTTTCTCCAAATACTCTTGTGGACTTCGGGATGTGGACTTTACTTTTTTTCACTCCATATGTAACTTCACATAACTGAATTACAATGCTTTAGCATGAACTGAAGTTAGTTTTAGAGTGAAAAGAGTGAGAGGAGTACACCTGCCGAACTCAACGTCTGTAATACGCACGCGTTGCTTCTAAACAAAAGAACTGTTTGTGGAAGGGTTGACATATCTAAGGGACATGCGATGAATGCTATCTAAAATACGTTATATCATGAATAATGGATTGTGTTAAAATATTTTATGTCAAATACAATAAAGATATTATTAAAAAAAAAACACTTATACAGTTTTTATGAATTGGCAGGCTTGGTGACTACTAATTTGAATAAAAATAACGTCCAAGATGCAAGACTATGTAGCAACCCCCTTAGATATACGCAGGGGCTGGTAACTCAAATGGAAAAACATGAGGTTGGTAATTTAGTACCACTCCAATTAACGGGATGGCGCTCGCATCGAAATGTCATGTCAGTTGTCAGCTCGTCAAAACTTCAAACTCAAAATTAAAATGGCTATTGGTTATTGTATTTGAAGGTGTATTGAATTTTGATTTATTTTTCAACACCTTCCAATTTTAAGCATGTTTTCAAACGATGGAAAGATGGATTTCAGCAACAAACAATAAAGCACTACCAGATATTGGTAGTGATGCAATTTATACCACATTAAATATGCAGTCGTCATATTAAGGATATCCAAATAGTGTCTTAAGAAAAATGCACCATCACTGTTTGGTAAGTAATATTTACAAACTTGTTTTTGATTCAGTGTTAAAATAATTGGTTTGTTATTTAAATTTCTTTTTGTTTTCAGTTTTTAAATGATCATTGTTGTAAAGAAAATGTTGGCCCTCCAAAATACCCTGTCGATCGATGAAATTTTTGAGCCTCAGCTATCAATATCAAAAATTGATTCAATGCCATTGACATCAAACAAGAAAATACCCTAAAATCTTCAAGGGTCCAAACGTGTGTAAGTTTATACTCAAAAGTTAAATTCATTTATCAGGGTGACCACCTAATGAATAAAAATTTGATAACTACACGTGCTGTATAAATGAATCACGAAAACAATTATCGGATGAAGAAATGCTCCTCAACCTAACTAGTCGACTCAATAACCGTATGGCAAATTTTATCCACACTCAAATTTGCCTCGATAGTAAAAAAGGATGATTCTTCACTTCAATTTTTTCAAACTTATTTGCCACTCCAAGTCGCAAAACTTTTATAAAGATCTTGAGCACTCATATATACTGATTTTGTTACAGAAAACATTTTTGATAGGTTTGTTTTATAACTATTTAATTATTTAAATGGTGTAAATGCATATTTGTTTTAAGTATTTCCATGTTTAAATAGACAAATTATATGATGCGGCTATAATTTACTGTAATAAAAAACAAAATAATAAATTGCATTTTATTTCAAGTTTGAAATTAATGCAAAAATATAATGAAGTAAAATCAAATAAAGATATAAATTGGCAAATTTTTGACTGGTTTCAAATCACAAAACAGTCAATATGGTTGTTTTATGATTTGAAACTAGTCAAATATTTTTACATTTTTTTTTGCTTTATTCGATTTTCTTCATTACATTTTTGCGCTACTACAAAGTTAAATTTCAAAAAGCCCGCTCGTGGCGGCCATATTGAATTTTAGTACCACTCCAATTTGATAGATGGCAGCACATCGACTCAGAATTTTACCATTGAGTTTCCCATCTATTCACAGTAATCTATGGATATACGAGTCCTTACCTCCAGGGGTGCGTTCAAAAATCGAGAGCGTAAAATTTTCAATCGTCCGGACAAAATTCGTCGGAACGTTTATTTTTGCCCGATAAATATGAACGGTAAGTGCAAGTATTGTTAAATCAAGTTTTTGGTTATGTCTTTTCTGTTATCTGAGATAGTAGGAATTATCAAAAATTAGTAAATAGGTGTAACATCATTGACGTCCACATAGACTTTTTTATGTAAAAATTCAATTCATTACCTTTTTTACTGTGTCATAAAATTTTATCATTTTCTATAATGAAATTATCATCGTTTCCGACAACTAGACGCTTAATTTTCTCATTCATACTCAGATTTAAATATTTTTTACTCAAAAAGTAAAAATAGGAAATTAAATACTAGGTGGTTGGTTCTCTTAGGTTAATTGGGATTATGACATACTGCGCAAGTCGACTAAAAATTACCCAACTCAACACGGTGGGTAAAATTTCTTCATCCCGACGCGTTTTTCTTTTAAATTGGAACGGCTGGGGTAATTCGTCCAGATAAAACGTTCCATATTTAGGAACGCTTTTTTGAATTTAGACAACGTCCGGACGCATTTACCCTACATTTCTGAACGCACCCCTGTAGGTATTGTTTGACAGGTTGTTGGAATGTCTAAATGTTCCTAAGTGTAAACATCGCACAGTTGTGGCATTTTTGATTGGGTTGTCAGGATGATGTAGCGTTTATGAAGACTAACACCCGTATCTATACTCGATCACCAGCGATTCGCCGGAGATTCATTCCGGCGTATCGCCAGCGATTCGCTGGCAATTCGCTGGCGAAAGCCCGAAAAGGTGGCGACCCGCTGGCGATTGTCACCGGTCTGTCATTTCTCGCAAGTTTTCATGTTCTTTTATAGGGATTATCACCGGCATCTCTCGCATTTTATTATTGATTCATTTCTTAAAACTCACAAAACAATGAACGAATATCAAATTTTTCCCTATAAAAGAACTTGAAAACTTGCGTGAAATGACATGTCGGTGACAATCTCCAGCGAGTCGCCACCTTTTTGGGCTTTCGCCGGCGGATAGCTGGCGATGCGCCGAAATGAATCTTTGACGAGTCGCTGGTGATCGACTATGCATACGGCTGTAAGTCTTTATAGTAGCATTCCACTGGTGAGGAATTCAGTGATCCACATATTAAACCTTAAATATACGTTGTGGAACAGCCATATGGAATAAATTCGGTAATAAATAAATGTGCGCGTGTTCGAAAAAACGCTCGGACACATCGATTGTTATTTTTAGTTGCGCATTTTTTTAACAAAAAATTTTAATATAAGGTGTTTTATGTAACAGGCCAATACAAGCTTTCTTATTTTAAATGCAACACCCTGTATATTTTTCAATTTTTTGATTCTTCAGAAAATGTTAGACATAATTTATGAACTATGTCCTATCCTGTTTCAAAAATATTAAATGTTTTCCGATTTATTGCAAAAATTAACATTAATAAAATAAACTTATTTGATTACAGAAATTCGTTGCAACACATTTAAAAACTAGTAAGTAATACTAATTATTTCTTGACAATGTAACAAAAAAAACACATCTCAATGTAGGAGATGTTCAAAATGCTCGCCGGAAACATCTTGGCATCATCCTAATCTGAAATAAAATTTTCTTTTAACGTTACTCAACATCTCAGGCGTGACCGATCTAATCGCAAGCGTCATTCGCCTTCTTAAGTCAGCTAGGTCGAGAGATTTAGTTTTGTAAAAAAACTTTTGATATACCCCCATAAGAAAAAGTCTAATGATGTCAGATCAGGGTATCGTGGAAATACTCGACTGAGGTACTGCCGGACATTGATTTGGTAATGGGGCGGTGCTCCATCTTGATGACATCATATCATATTCGCTGGAACTTGTATATTTGCTGGATCGAGACATAAGTTCGTTAAAGTTGGTACATTATTTTGGTACGCTGCTAAATAATTATCGGCATTCAAATTGTCGAGAAGTTTAGTTTTGTATAAAATACTTTTGACATATCCCCATAAGAAAAATTCTATTGATGTCAGATCAGGGGATTGTGCTGGCCATTCCATCAATCCTCGCCTCCCTATGCACCAATTTTGAATAACTCGATTGAGGCACTGCTGAACATTGATTTGGTAATGGCGCGGTGTTACTTCTTACTGAAATCATATCATATTTATTTGTAATTGTGAGTTTGCTGGTTTGGGATATAAGTTAATTAAAGTTGGCACGATGTTATTTTGGAGCACTGCTAAATAATTATTATCGCCATTCAAATTGCCGTCAATAAAAAAGAAACCTAAAATATGATCGCAACAATTCCTGCTCAAACATTAACCTTTTCAGGGTATTGCTTATGTTCTTCTCTCATCCAGTGAGTATTTTCCCTAGACCAATAGCGGCAATTTTGACGATTACCATGACCGTGAAGTGTAAAGGTACACTCATCAAAAAAAAAACATGTTCTAATTGTATCACCATATTATCTAACATTGCCATCATTTGTTTACAAAATTGCATTCTCTTGTCAAAATCGTCTTCCATGAGCTCCTGAGTATTCTCCTGTAACTTTCAACTGTGGTATTTTTATTATTTTATTTATTTTCCGTATAAAGGGGAACTTTAATTATTTTCCTGTAGCTTTCAGCTGTTGTATTTAATTAATTTTGTTCACTAAAAATTTATTTCCTGTATACAAGTGTGCCGATACCGCGCCCTAGCTATTATATTTTTTTGGAAATATATTTTGTTATTTATTCCTGTGTTTCTCTTATTGCCGATTTTTAACCGTTTTTTTTTAGGGTACCGTAGGGTACGAGATAAGTGTTTTAATTCTAGTGGCTATCTCGTTAGCAGTGACCGCCTGGAAATATTTTCAACACCACTGAGTTTATCTTGAGTACCCTCTGGTGTGCTACAGCGTCGCGGGGCAAACTGTGTTAACAAAACTGGCGCCCGAGCAACCCTTATTCTGAAATCACTATCTTAGCGCCACACAGACCTCTTGATTCACTGTAGGTAACCAGAAGCCTGTCACAATATCCATTTTGGTATCATTAGTTATTGTATTGGCAGCTGTTTCTTTATATGTTTTATATGTCCAAGCTCGCAAAACTGCTTCTCAATTTTACTAATTGTCCCTTGGGATATACGCGGCAAATTTGAAAAGTTTTCATGAAATAAGCAAGCCACTTCCATTTGTGTCTGTATGTTATCTCCATGACCAATCATCTACAGAATTGTTATTTTGTGCATTTTTGTTAAATGAAGTATTTTTCTGATATGCAGTTAAGAAAATTGAAATGACTATAACACTGACAACTACTGTTATGCATTCAGAAAACAATTTGCTAACACCAGGCGTTTTAAATAAAAGTAAACAGAACTATTTAAGCATAGCTTTCTTGTTTTATATCAGTAAAAAGGAATGCTGTAGTTATAAATTACAAAATGGAACTCTTATTTTTAAAATTTTTATTAAGTACAAATACACTTAAATGGATATCTAAGATAACTCTGGACTGAAGCCTACACTAAAGCTACCTCAAAATAACAATAATAAGTTTTTACTCCTATTTATAAAGTAAAAATGATTATTAAGCAAAGATAATCTATTTATATCATAAAAGAGTCTATTATGTTCACAATATATAACTCTGCAATGGTTTTTGCTTACTTTCTCATTATCAAGACCTAAATGCGAAATGAGTATTGAGTGTGTTTTAGCGAATTTCTGTATTTAAACAATTTAATTTTATTAATTTAGGACAAAGTACATAAAATAAGTCTAAAATTTTCTGAAGGATCCAAAAGTTGAAAGATATACGGGGTGTTGCATTTAAAATAAGGAACAAACCCTGTATAAAAAGATTTTGTTAAAGAAAATACGCAACTAAAAATATCAATCTACGTGTCCGAGCGTTTTTCCAAACACGCCTCTATTTATTTATTACCGAATTTATTCCATTTGGCTGTTTCACACTGTATATAAACATCCTTATAATAAATATCCAATAGACTTGGGTGATATTTCCCAATGGGAATTAAAAACAAATAAAAAACTTGTACTCTGTGCAAAATTTATAAAAATTAACAAAACGTTTTCGGTATTATGATATCTTCATGTACAGGGCTCATTTCCTATATATTAAAATAGAAACTTTAATAAAACTTAAAATAGGCTTCCTACCAAATATTATATTGTTATATTCATAAAAACTAAAATAAACAATCACAGTATGTTTTATTAACATTTAACGATAATTATTGGTAACGACTGGTACCTATTCTAAATAAATTTAATATATTTATTGTTGATAAGTAAAATAGAATTATTTGCAGCTCCCATTTTGTTCTTACAATCATAATAATAGGTATCTCAGTACTACCGAATTTGGAGCCCTCATAAATCAACATTAGTCGATGCTGATTTTCTTGAAATTTCCATGGTATCCCAAAATTTCATCATTTTCTAATTTTTCCGGTCGAAGTGATTCATCGACTTTCATGTTTTCTAATTTATCAAACCGGTCCTTATATTGTTGAAATTTCTTCTTCCATAAATCTAAAATAAATTAACAGATTTATTAAGATATTCACTATATAGGGTGTTTCAAAAAACATGTTCAACAGCTCGTGGGGTGATTTCTTACCCAAAAATAAGACAAATAGTTCCTATCAACATGGGTTCGCAGATCCTTTATTTCAATGATCAGGGTTTTACAATTTTTAATTTATTTTCATTTTTTTTATATTTCCGTAGTGGCTTTAACGATTTAAATAAAATTTTGACTGTAAAGTATACCTAAAATCACATATTTTAGCAAAAATATGTAAATGTAATACGCGCTTTATTAATTATTAACAAAAAATAGGTGTGCCACTATTTTTATCTTTTGATGGCACACATTTAGATTTAAATGGCAAATACAAAGCAGCTTTTAATATTTTTAGATTTTAGCTTCGTTTAGAGGATAAATACAATTTAATTAAGTAGCGTGTGTATGTACCTGCCAGCGTAACACAAGTTTACCATAAATTATTAAATTATTTATTTATTATTGTCTCGATTCGCCATAAATTAATAATATGTCGGTTAATTAGCCAATGTACAAATAAAAAAAATTCTTCTATAGTACCTATACAAAATTACTTACAAACTTGAGAAATTAAAACGAAAACAAGACACTATCTTTTGCTTAAAGTGAATGCAGCACCCCTCATAATTTTGAAACAAGGCTATTTCAAAAAGTAATTTTGTTAAAAAATTAAATTTTGGCAAAATAAATAAGGTAATATTATCTAGATATGTATTTTGAAATTTTAGTTCTTTTCAATTTCCGAGAAAAAAATCAAATAGCTTTATATTTTGAAATATCATAATGAAAATAAATGCATCCTCAACAGGACTATTCTTAATATACTCCCGAAATTTAAACTCTTTATGTCTTGTTAATGATTTTTTTAAATTCGCCAAAATTAGTTAAGTGTTGCCTTCTGGTGTAACGAGCCTGTAACTATCGTATCGTATACTCTCAGTCATTATTCGTTTCTTGCAACGATTTACATCAGTTTACACTTAACGAGGCGTTTTAGCCACTAAATTTGGCAAATTTAAAAAATTATTAACAAGACATTTTCATTATATTTCAAAATTTAAAGACCTTTGATTTTTTCATATTCATATTCCAGATATTATTGCCTAATATAATTTGCCAAAATTGTAATTTTTTAACAAAATTACTTTTTGAGATATCCTTGTACGAAAATTATAAGAGGTGCTTCAGCAGGCACAGGAAGAATTACTACCACACATAATCCGGCTATCCCGGAGCAGTTTGGAGCTGGGATATATACCAGAAGCATGGAGAAGGGCCAGAGTCACCTTTATTCCAAAAGTAGGGAAAAAGGATACCTAAATCTTTCCGTCCAATCAGCCTCACATCCTTTGTATTAAAAATAATGGAGAAGGCTGTTGATAATTATATCAGAACAGAAGTCCTGGAGAGGGTGCCACTCCACCACAGCCAACACGCGTACCGAGCAGGAAGATCTACAGAAACTGCCCTGGTAGAGTTGACTGATGTAATCCAGGATGCACTGACAAACAAAGAAACGGTCGTGTGTGCCTTCGTAGACATAGAAGGAGCTTTTGACAACACGCCACACGAATCTGTAAAAAGAGCACTTGCATACAGAGGAGTAGATAACACCACATCCAGATGGATGGCTCAGTTGTTATCTACGAGAACTGCAGAGACACGGATAGGGCAGGACACCATCTCCATCTGCACAACCAGAGGATGCCCACAAGGAGGAGTTCTATCCCCACTAATGTGGAGCCTAATCGTAGACGAACTTCTATGCAGATTGACTGACCTCGGCATACCCTGTCAAGGTTATGCCGATGACATAGTCACATTTGCTAGTGGCAAGTTTAGTAATATCCTGTGTGATATAGTCCATCGAGGACTAGAACATACCAAAAGATGGTGCCGTGAAGTGGGACTTAGTGTAAACCCTACAAAAACAACACTAGTAGCCTTTTCAAGGAAAAGAAAACTTAATCTCAAAACCGTTAAATTAGACGGGATAGATATAGAATGGAAAAATGAAGTCAAATATCTAGGCCTAACCCTGGACAACAAACTTCTCTGGAACACACATAAAAAGGAAGTAGTAAATAAGGCCACAAAAGCCCTAATGGTATGCAGAAACATTGCAGGTAAACGATGGGGATGTAACCCAAACATACTGCGATGGATGTATACTGCAATAGTGAGACCAATCATCACTTACGGGGCTATAGCCTGGAGTAACAGAACTAGTTTAGTTACTACGAGAGCTAATATCTCAAAAGTACAAAGACTAGCCTGTGTATGCATTACTGGTGCAATGAGAACCTGTCCTACGTCCGCAATGGAAGTGATCTTAAACCTCACCCCTCTACATTTGATGATAGAGAATGTGGCAAAAAGGACACGATATAAAATGATCAGGAACGGAGTAATCAGACGAAAGTCTACTTGCCTCAGGACTAAAGATACCTGGGACATGCTCCAGGATGAAATGCAGAAGAAGCACAGTTTTGTGAAAAACTTCAAAACCACAGAGCTGGGCTGCAAGAAAGAATGGAGCCAAGAATCCATCGCGCTTGCAACCGAAATACATGCTATTCAGTGGTATACGGACGGTTCCAAAACCATAGAAGGAACTGGAATAGGAGTGTATGGGCCGAGAACGAAGCATTCCGAAAGCTTGGGAAAATACCCAAGCATCTTCCAGGCGGAAATTCACGCCATCGAGAAGTGTATCCAGTTTAACATCGAGAGATTATCATCATGTCCGGTAGTCAAGCAGCCATCAAAGCGCTGAGTTCTTACGTAATCAGCTCAAAAATGGTCTGGAGATGCCTAGAACAATTAAATGAGCTAGGCGAGAAAAATAGAGTTACTCTTACTTGGGTCCCGGGACATAACATGGTACAGGGTAACGAGATTGCAGATAGTCTTTCAAGGAAAGGGGCTCAAATATCCTTTGTAGGACCTGAGCCGTTCTGCGGTATCAGCAGTAACATAATATTATGAGAGATTAAAAAAGAATTGGGTAGTAGAAGAACCGATAATTGGAACAATCTCTTGGGGCTGAGACAGGCCAAGATACTTCTGCGTGAATATAACCAGAAAAGATCAGAAGCTTGCATCTGCCTAAGCAAGAACAGGCTACGTATTGTAACAGGGATCCTTACCGGGCATTGCCGACTAAAAGGACACCTAAGTAAACTGAGAGTAGTAGAGGATAGTGAGTGCAGATTCTGTGAGGAGGAGGACGAAACCTCCATTCACATTCTAACTGAATGTGTAGCACTCCAAAATCCAAGGGCACTATATCTAGGAGGATATCAAATAGAAGAGGGAGTTTTACCTAACTTGAACAAATCCTACACTTCCTTGAGAAAATAGGATTAGAAGGGTCGCTATAGGCATTGAGACATTTCCTTATTAGTTATACTTATCTTATCTATTCCCTATTTTTACACTTGTCTCCATTTCCATTTTCATTTTTCAGCACATTACTTCAAAAAACAACTAACTAAGTTTTCTCTTTTTTTCGTTTTCTCTTTCTTTCTTTCCTTTAATACCACTTTCCTTCCTTTTTCCGTTGATATGTTACCAACTTCTTAATTTAAACATTAAGTACATCTAAAAATTATTTTCCGACGCTAATGCTGGACTCTACGTGTAACAATAATAATTAATTTATTTCATTTTGTTTATTATTACATACAAATTCAAATAATTCATTTTTAAACCTATATTATTAATTAAGAAACATTTATTTCTCCAACGCCATCTATTAGCCGATGTCAAAATATTTAAATCTGACAACCTTTAAACTGTTTTTCTTAAATATTAGAATTGTTAGTTCGTCTATTTATATCTAGAGGGCGTTAATTAGTATCTTTAATCTAAAATAAAAAATTATACCTTCAGAATTATAAACATTTCATGTTGTCTAAGAGCCCATTTTAGTTCTTGTAGGGCTTAAAAAAAGTTTTAAATTTGTTTTGTCTTAATGTCTTTCCGTTCGTGAAATATTTTAATAATTTTAATTAATAGTTTTAGACCTACATTTCTTAAAAAATACTCGCATACTTGTTTTTTACACCGACCCTGTGATAATCTCTAAGCTTAGTCTTAAATAGATGAGTAATACGGGTGAGCTCTTGATATTTGACAACTTTCATAATTTTTTAAACCCACTTTATTAGTTATGAGCTCATTCGTTTTTACCTATCTATTTTAGACCATACCTGATGATGAGGATCTGATCTCGGTCGTATTAAATTACTCTTGTGAGATCTTAAGGACCACCCTTGTTTTATTTACCTCTTTTTTGAACATATAACTCACACATGGCTACCACCTTCAACTTTAAACATTTCCTTAGTGCAGCGGCGACCGAAGGGGGCACAATAGATCTTTTAGGTCGCAGTGTATTAACACCCCATTCTTAACATAACATAACATAACATTTTAAAAATAATTAGAGTGAAATTTCGAAAACAATCAATATACGTTAAACATACTGGCTAAGCCGGCGGTGCTTGCATTTGTTGAAATGAAAACCGTCTTTCGGCGGCATAGTCCTCTTCATACAGGAAAGCCGCCGCAAATCTAAACTGATTTGTTGAGCAGGGTGGCATGCTATCAGTGAATTGAAAAATGCCGCCGGACAACGGTCTACTGTATTTTAAACACTGAATGCCGGTGGTAAGAAAAAATACTTGTAAAATCGTCTACATTTTTGTGGCAAATGATCATATGTCGTACGCGTTTTATTTGTACATCGGTCTTCTTATGACAGAGTAGATGAGCTGTGTCCAGGCCGTTGGTGTTTATGCCGGTCGGTGTAGCCAGGTAAGGAGTCGTTACTTCGTCTTCTTGTTGTCACGACATTATTATTATTATTTGTTTATGTATGTGAAATTTGCTTCTAAAGTTTATAAAATACTACTGCTAGTCACGGCGCAAATGAAAACAAACAAGACGCATTCACACAAAC